GCTAATATTTAAAAAACTAGCTAATAATTATAAAACCTATGTAAAATATATATTTAAAGGTAAAATAATATATTTTTAAATTACTACCTTAATTAATATTAATATAGCTAGTTAACGGCTAAAAAATTTTAAAAAATACTAGTTTATAGTTTATAAAACCCTAAAGGTAGTAAAACACGCGCTTAATAACTACTATATGCTTTTTTATAAATTTAGTAAAAAAATAACTTAAAATAAATATAAGGTAAGTAATATTAGCCCAAGTTTTTAATATAAAATATATTAAGGACTTAATAATACTTTAATATTATTTTAAAATATTTACTAAAGCTTTATACTTTTTAGGAGCAGGCTTTAGCTTTAAGCAGGGATTTATTAACATGCTATAAACTTTAAAATTATTTATACTAAATTAATAAAGGATTTTATTTATATAACTAAGCTAAAAAAGCTAAAGTATTTAGTTAACCTAATTTTAATAAACTTTTATATTAAAATAATAATAGCAAGGGCTAAAATTAAATATTTTAAAATACTTACTTAAGGTATTTTTAATTTTTTAAATCTAGGTTTTATCCCTATTAACTAGTAAAAAATTATTTATATATATAATAATAAAAATCTTACTATTAGTAAAAACTCCTAGGTTTAAATAAATAAAATAAAAGCCTAGTATAACTAAAAAGTTTATAAATAATTAATATTAAATTTATAATACTTATTTTAGGCTATAAAAAGCCTTTTAAAGCTAGTAAACATGCTTAAAGCTATTAGTAAAAAGGTAAGGCTATTTTATAAAAATTATAATATTAATATTCCTATATAAAAATACTATTTTTATATTTATTTATTTAATTTTAAGGTTTAGCATGGTAATAATAATAAATAAAAACTTATAGCTTATTAACTTTATTACCTTAGTAAAAATTTTATAATAGTTAAGCCTATAAACTTACTTAAAATTATAAATTACCTAGTAAGCTTTATAATAAAAAATCTAGTTTTTTAGTTTTTTTTTAACTTTTAGGATTTATTTACTAGGGAATAAGTGTTTTTTAGCTAGTAAGTTAATAAAATTTTAAGTTTTATTTTTTATTAAAAAATTATATTTTTTTACATGCCCTTAAACCACTTATTTTATTTATTTTTAATTTTAGCTTACTAAACTATTAATTTATTTTTTTTAAAAATTTACTTATAAAATATTATAACTAGTACTAAAATATTATTTAGGTTAGGCTTACTAGCTAGTACTTAAAGGTTATTTAAATAAGGTTTATTAGCTAAAGTAATTTTATTTTATATAACTTTAATAATATTTTAGGAATAAAATAAATAAGCTAGCTTATTTAAAATTTAAAAAGCTTTTTTAAGGTTAATAATAGCTTAAGCATGTGTATAATATACTAGGCTAGTATTATAATTAAAATTTAGGTTTTTTAAAAATATGTTAGCTTTAGTAGCTAAATTAATAGCTTTTATTACTAAATTTTTAAGGTTTATATACCTGGAAAGGTTTTTAAAAGCTAGGCTTTTTAGGGATTTATTTTTAAGATTTTTTTTAATATTTAGGTTAGTATTAACTAGTAAGCTTTTAGGGATAAAGGTCCCTGGAAAGGTAAAAGCTTTAAAAATAAAGATTTTTAAAGATATTAAAGCTTTTAGTGCCTTAGGGATAAAGATTCTTAAAGGGTTTAAAGCTTTAGGTAGTGCCTTGGGGATAAATGTCCCTAAAGGGGGTAAAGCCTTAAAAATAAAAATTTTTAAAGGTACTAAAGTAGTTGCTTTTAGTAAAAAATCTGGCCTAATATAATAATTCTTAATAATATTAGTATTATATATTAAAACCACGTGGCTATTATTTAAAAAAACCTAGTATAGCTTATTTATTTTTTTATTAAACCTAACTAGCCTTTTAGTTTTTATTTTACTATTTTTATAAAGCTTTTTTTGCTTTTTTAGTGGGTTTAGAATATAAACCTTAAATTAAAAAATATATATATAAAAAATATTTAGCTGGTAGCTATACTAGGCTTTAAATAATATAATATTATTTAATATAAAATACAAAGTTTAATTATATAAATAACTAGTATTTTTATAAAACTTAAATTATATATTAGCTAGGGCTTTAATATTATATAATATAAATTATATAAAACTAAGTAGCTTGTTAATAAGTATTTTAATATAGCTATTTTATTTATATTAGTTTATACTAAATATTTTTATAATAGCTTTAAAGCTATAAATAAGGTATTATAGGTTATAAATATTTTCCCCCCCTTAATTATAATATATATAGTGTAATAGGAGCTCGGGCGTGATATATTAATAAATAATAAAAAAAACCTAGGTAATAAATTTATTTTTAGTAGTTAGTATTATAACCTAGTAGTAATAAAATTTATTATTTATAATAAAATTAATATATACCTTTTTATTAAATAAAAGTAAATATAGGCCGGAGATATTTATATAAAATAATTTAAATAATTAATTAATAAGTATTATAATACTTTTATAAGGCTTAGCCTGCTAGTATATAATAATATAAAATTTATTAATATAGCTTTTTAACATGTATATGCTATAAACCACCTTTTTTATTTTATTAAGTTAATTTTTAAAGGTATAACTTATTTATTAATGCTAAAGCTAAAAAATTTATTTTAAAAAATAAAGACTACTAGTATTAAAATAACTAGTATTATTAAACCCTAATAAAAATTAAAAAAAATACTTTATAAACTTTAGTAGCTATATATTAAGCTAATTTATAATTATATAAAATAATAATATTAATATTTTATAGCTTTTTAGCTTTTATATTTTACTAGTTAAAGTTAATTAAGTAATACTTATTTAATAGCTAAAAAATAAATATTAGCATAAATAATTTATTTAGGTAGTATAAAATATTATTTAAAGCTAAAATTTTAAGCTAATTATTAATATAATAAGGGATTTTAATAATACTAATACCCTAGGTATTAAAAACTTTAGGGTTAATACTTTTAATACTAGGGCTGTTATAAGGCTTAAGGTTTTAAAATAAAAAGTAATTATAAGTAATATATTATATATAACTATTATTTAAGGTAATTTATTAAATAAAACTATTTTAAATAATTTTTTATTTAAAATTTAAATTAATTTAAATTATAAGTACTAGCTTAAGCATAAGCTTTATATTTTTCCTAAATTTAAAGTTTTTTTAAGGGTGCTTAGCGCCCTTGCTACCCCGGGAGTTTTTTTAAGTAATTTTAAGTTTAAAATAAAGTTAATAATAAGTTTTTTAATTATAAAAAAGTATGTTATAATAAGGGTAATAATATATAATAATATTTATAGTACCCTTATTTTTATATATTTAAATAATATTAAGGTAGTTTTTATAATACTTAGTATTAAGCTTAAATATTTTATTAAAAAAAAGTATTAGGGTGCTAGTGCCCTAGTTTTAATTTAATTTAATAAACTTAATAATAATTATAAAGTTATTTAGGGATATAACTAATATAATAATATTATTTAAAGAATACTTAATAACATGGTTATTAAAGTATATAGCCTTAAAATGGTTAAATTAGTTACCTAGGGCTTAGTAAAAGGTAGTAATAATAAATTTAATTAAAAAAGTAATATTAACACGGGTAAATTCCTATTAAACCTTCCTAAGTTTCTTGCTAAAGTTAAAAATACTTTTATTATAAAATAAAAATATTAGGTTAGCCCAGGCCTTAAAAATTATAATATTAATATTAGGTTTAAAATAGCTTTTAATTTTATTAAGTAGCTTATAAACTATTTATTTATTAGTAAAAAGGTTTTATAAATTAAAACTTAAATAATTAAAAATTAAAGCTATAGCATGGTCTTGGTTTTACTATTAAATTTTAATTTTATTATGGTTTACCAGGGGCATAGGCTTAATAATAGCCTTAATAATAAGCTAAGTAAAAGGTTATATAAAAAGTATAATAGTAATTAAAACTTTATTATTAATACTTATATTTTTAGCTTGGCTTGTAATAGATTATTAACTAGGGGTCTTAATATTTTTACTTATTAAAGCTAATATAGTAAAAAAGGGACAAGTAAGGGTTTTTATAAAATATTTTTAATTTAGCTATTTTAAAAGGTGGCTATAGCTGGCCTTTTAAAGCTTTAAAAATACCTGCTGGTTTTATTTAATTTACTAGTTTTTTAATATTAAAACCGGGATATTTTTTGCTTTAATTAAGGTTATTTTTTTTATTTTAGCTTAATATAGAAGAACTAAATATAAAAAAATTAAATATAAAAAAACTAAATAATAAAAAAATTAAAGTGGTTTAAAAGCTAGGGATTAAAGCGCTTAGGGATTAAAAACCTAAGGTAATTAAAAATAGTAAGCCCTAAAAAGTTATTATAATAAGATTAAGGTTAAATAAATTAAAGCTTATGCTAGGATAGTTATAAAAAAAAAGCTAGTAATTAAAAATAGCTAGTTAAATATTTAAAGGTTAATTTAAATTTTTAAAAAGTAGTTAAAGTTAAAATTTAAATTAAAAAACCTAAAGGTATTATACTACCTTTAAAGGTTTTAAAACTTTTTAGTTATTAAGGGGAACTTATTTTTATTAAAAAATTAAATATATATGGCCTTAAAAAGCGGATGTTTATAAAATTAAAAGCTAATTAAAAAGGTAAAAATAAAAATAAAAAATAAAAAATTTAAAATAAAATAAAATAAAATTATAATATTTATACTTTTATAATAAGGCCTTTGCCCTAAGTATAAGGTTTTTTAATTATTATAATAACTAGTAAAGTTATAAAAAAATATAAAATTAAATAAGTAAAATAAAAAGATATTATATATTTAGTTAGTATAGGTTAACTTAAAAAAAAAGACTTTTAATTAAGTATATAAGTTAAGTAAACCCGGGCTTATAACCTATTAAAAAAAAATAAATAATTATTATATATAAAAGTTTTTTATATTACTTAGTGTACTAAGCTAAATATTTTAGGGATAAATAAAAAGTTTTATGGGTAGTTATTTAGGCTAGAAGAACCTTCCTCCACCGGAGCCCTAAGGCCTCCGGTGGCCTCAGGCACCCACTTCCAGCACCGTCCGCTGTACTTGCAAGTATCCTTGCAGAGGACAAGGGTGTGGTAGTCGTCCTGATGCGTCAGCACCGTCTCACTAACAACATCCGGATAGTGTGCGAACTCGAGGGATAAGGAAAGAAAGACCTACATCCGGATCAACCGTAAGACAAAACGCACACAACCAGCACCTGGCCATCCCATCAAGGAGGATCCCATTTCGCGACGAATACAGCCTATCCGGTCCAATGGGTTCTTCATCGTCTTCCTTTTCCGGTTTCATCCACTTCACCCCCCACCCATTCCTCCCCCACAACTCCCGCAGACAAAGCGGAAAGACATGCGTCGCCCGAACGCCCCTCAGCTTCTCAGGCGGGGGGTCTCTCATCCCCGTAACAACACACCCTCTATCTCTCTCGAGAACACGCTCCCCAAAGCGCAAATGGCGCGGGTCCCGCGGCGACCCGGTCCTCGAGACGGGGCTGAATGATTCGGGCGTGTACAGGCGGTGCAGGGGCGGTTCGTCTGTGTCTCTTGCTTCGATAAGCTGGACGTTCGGGGCTAGAAAGACGTAGCGGCCTTTTTGCAGGGGCGTTGAGGAGCGCGGGAGCGGGGCGGAGCCGAAATTGTCACTGGGGGTTATGGGGTGGATGGACCATTTTTCGGGCGGGATTGGGGCTTCGATGAAGTGCGTGCAGAGTCGGTAGAAGGTGCTGTTGGAGATTTGGGGTGGGGTGTTTATGTAGAGGCCTGGTGTTCCGGGCATGTTAAGAGTACCTTGGGCAGGTGGTTGATCCTTAGCGGTCGACTGGGGCTTACCTCCTAGATGGTCGCCGTTCGCGGCGAAGATGTATGCGTTGCGGATTTGATGGGGGTCGGGCGCTTCGAACGACGGCATGGTTTTATTTAGGTATATTAATGTATTGACGCAGGAGTGAATTTGAAGGGCAATTGAGGTTGCATTGAAGAGGTCCCAATCGTGATATCATGGCTGCGCATATCTCAGGAACCACAAAGATCGACAGCGCAGAGCCCAGTCCCGCCATACCTAGGTAGCCACCTGCAGCCAGTAGATATCGCGCCAGTGCGCAAATGTCACGATCACGCCGCTGATGCATGGTCCCACGGCCTCATAAGCCCAACCCCTTACCATCTCATCAAGATACAAGGATTACATATCAAGCGCACTCCCCGCCACACTGCCCACCTGCAACACCCCACCGCACCCGCGCACCGTCGGGCCAAAAATATCCGCGATAACCGTCTGCCCCGCAACCATAGAGTACGTGCCCGTCAACCCACAGATAACCCTCATGACCGTGAAAACGCCCATGTTCGGCGCGAGGGCTGTCCCCACGCTCGCGAGGAGCATGACTGCCGTCGCGGCGTCGTAGCTTTGCTTCCGGGTGAAGAGTTCGGCGAGGGGCGGGCGACCAGAGGAGGCTGGAGATGCCCATTGCGATTAGCACGGCGGCGTTGGTGATGTTTAATATCTCGGGGGTTGTGTGGAGGTCTGTGGAGATTTCGGGGTGGCGATTAGGAGTTGAGGGTTGTGCTGAGGAATGTTGCGACTAGGGTGTTCCAGCTGACGATGGAGAGGGTGAGGTGTTTGAGGGATCGGCTTTTGCTGACCTCATTTTAGTTCTGGATTTGGACTTGATGGGGAGGTTGTGGTTGTTGTTGCGACTGGTGGCGGCATCGTGAGTCTGGGCTTGGCTTAGGGCTAGGTTTCCAATGTGGATGCGCCCACTCTACTCCACAGCTGCTAAATATATAGAGCATATAGCCTTGATGGCTGTGATGTCTTCTGAAACTAAATGCCATGTAGAACCCGTGTCTATCTTTCTACCTAGGTATGGGACTTGTTCTAGCAAATGGCTCTGTGCTGACAATGTGCTTCTACTTAGCAGTAGTGCTTATAGCAAACATTGGCAATACACCATCATTCCATAATCAATATACTAGGCGGCATGACGCAAGAAATAGGCATTTAACTGCGTGGACAATGTGCACTCTCATGGCTCAAAAGGATATTGCTACTCTGTGCAGTCTGTACAGTCTACTGACAAACTTCTAGTAAGTGCCTCATACTGTCTTCCTCTGTATATTAGCCGGGGCTGTGTGCCTGTCGCTGCATTTGGCAGTCGGCCATGTCAGCCCTGTCCGCTGAGCACATTGTCAATCGGCTTCATAAATCAGGGAAACCAAAGTCATTCAGGATATCAAGAGATGATGACCGGAGTATTTGATCAGATGTATACTTGATCTCGGTCTTAAGCACGGACTTTACACTTTATCAAGGCACGGAGTTTTTATACTCCTATGTAAGTCATCCATCTGATGTCATTTAGGGTTGCTTACATCGAGATCATCCCAATTGCATATCTTCGTAATCTTCACCGGAGAAAAAAGCAAGAAATCTCACTAAATGATATAAGCAACAACAGCGCCACAAGTCTCAAACGTAATTGGCCGGACAAACCGCTCGCATACTCTAAACAACAGAAACCCGACCCAGCCCAGCCCTGACGAAAAGCGGACCCTTGACAGAAAGTCCAGAAAGTCCAGAACCCTCAAGCGTCCCCGAAAAAAGAAAAACGCTGGCCAAGGTCAGTAGCAGCACCAAAACCCCGAGAGTGGATAGCCGGATATTTGCCTTCCACGTCGCCAGCGTGCGTGCCCGCTTCGCCTTGAACAGCTGGTCGCGTTCTGGCAGGGGTAAGTACTCCAGCACCATGCCGCTCTCGTACTCCTTTGTATTGGTGTAGTGCGCGAAGCGGGCCACGACGCGGATCACGTAGCGGATCATGAATTGGGCGAGGAGGGGGGTCTCGAGCGAGTGCACGCGCGACATGCGGTAGGAGAAGTCGCAGATTTCTTTGATCCGCGGGTGGATTGTGGCTCTGTAGGAGGTGAGGGCGTGGCGGATCTCGGCGTCGGTGGGTTTAGTCGTTGTACCGGTGTATGCGGCGTTGAGTTTCTGCAGGCAGTTTGCGAGCGCGGCGGAAGACTCGATGCAGAGGTTTGCGCCTTGGGCGAAGTTGGGCGTTAACTGGGTTGTTAGTGAGGGAGGTTTGTGAGGGGGGTAGGAGGCTACCTTGAACACGGTATCGCCAACGCCGGCCATCCGCCCGGCAGCCCACGTCTTTAAGATCCCCTCCGGGGTTGGTGTCGATGCAACAGAGGGTGTGATCTGCCACAGGTCGCGAAATTTAATGTTCCCGTACAAGTGGTGGTCACCGAGTTCTTCTAGCTTCGCCTTGACTTCGGCCTGCGACCATCGCGGCACGTTAGGGTGGACGTACGTTTGGTCCATCTTGATCATAACGAACCAGTTGATGGTGGAGTCGGCGTTGGGTATGATGGTCCAAAAGGCGTGCGGATAGGAGCGGGTATAGATCTCCCCTGGCTTTAGGGTTGCTGTCATCCCCGTCCCTTTGGTCGGCGTGGTCATGCCGAGACAACAGGTGTAGTCGACAGTCAAGTTGCTCTTGTCTTTGATCAGTGGGGAATCTGCTAATCGCCACATTTCTCGCAGGGTGATGCCATGGACTCCGTCTGCGCCGACGACGATGTCTCCGGTATATTTCTCTCCCTTCTCGGTGGTGACCGTAAGTCGTCCGTCGGAGGTTGTGTTGGGATTGATATCGACAACTCTTGTTCCAGTTTTGACCTTTGAGCGCCCTTCCAGCGAGGTAAAGAGGGCGTATAGGAGGTTTCGGCGGGTGAGTGCTGTGAATGGGTATCCGATCCTGTCTAGGGGTCAGGGAAGGTTGGGAGAAGGAAGGTGAGTCTTACCCAGTAAGGTTCCGCGCAAACATCGGGTGTCGACGAGTATACCCATCAGGAAGGGCGACATTGATAGACTGGATATCCGTCGTACATTTCCCCAGATGGTCAAGAATGCCGAGTTGATCTAGGATACGGCATCCTGCTGGCTGAAGGGCAACGGAGCCACCGATATTCGTCGTAATATCTTGGTGCTTCTCCAGAACAACATAGTCAATCCCAGCTTTCTCTAGACAGTGCGCGAGCGTGAGGCCGGAGACGGCACCGCCGATTATGATAACTCGAAGTTGCGAGCTGTTGGTTGTGGACTTCATTGTGTGGGAGAATTGGCCAGAGACAGGGAAACTACGGCCGCAGACTTCAAGGGAGGCAAGCGACGTATAAGAACCTTTACCTCAGTATCTATTCTTCCTTCTGCGGCGAGCCGATGTAATCCATGTCCTTGGTTGACTCCACCGAGATTATTCATTGGGGATACACTGCCATGTAATCACCGAGACCGCTGCCAGGGATATAATGTAAGAAATGGCATACCTGCCACACAGCAAGATCCGCCATCTCGATGTACCGACCCGGACTAATCTCGGGCTCGGTGTGTAACGCGCTCTGTACCACAAGACGGAGTATCTAGATGTCGAGTCTTTGCCGCTGTAGCAGGAAAATATGCGCTTTTGGGGATCGGTAACGCTCTTCAAGCAATTTCAAGTGGTTGGCGACCTGTTATACATGCTTTTGGTAGTCCCGCTTTGGGACGGTGCTGGGTTCGTTTCTTCTGCTGGCATAGAACTCCTGTTTCTACCCAGGCGTAGCTGTCAGTATGGCGCACTGTTCTGGACTCCTCTTGAAAATAAGAATACATGGAACAGTACTCCTTTACTTACCGCCGATCCCCCAGTAGCTCTTCGCATCTGGCTCTTTAAAATCAAATTATCTGAGAAACCGGAGTAGCCAAATGGTCGCAGGGGTGAGTTGTATTGGACGTCTGATAGGCATACGCGCGTCTTGCATAACTAGGTAATTGTGAACGCAGTGAGAGGCGCTTGGCCCACATTGAGAATCCGGCGGCGAGTGAGTATCCTTGGACATCTAGGAGAAGTTCTTTGAAAGATCTAGGGCTTAGTATTATAAATCTATCTGATTAAAGAGTTACTATCGAAATATTAGTACAAGAAATAGACAATGAAGCAAGCACTAGAGGCACATACCTTGCATATCTTGTAGTCCCACGATGAACTATGGTAGGTAAGCTTCCGAAGCCCTTGATGTTCGATACATGGCACATACCCCATTACCAAGCGGGGAGAAGGTCCCGGCCTCCAACGACCATGGCCTACAAGCGCGCTTCACCAACAGTAGCCTCGGTACCGAGGAAAGGTCTTCAACATACCTCATATCAGGTGCGCAAGAACATTCATCCCACCACGTAATACACCGATCGGAGAGACAATAACCAACATAGTCTATTCGCGTCCTTCAAAGCAGCAAGCGTGCTGTGTACTCGACCACGGTCGGCTTCCCCATCCGTCAATTGACGAGGCCGCTCAACGCAACGATCCTGTTAAAAAGCCATTGCAATTCTAACAATTCGATCGAAGGCAAAGGTAATGTATCAGGGTCACTTGTCCGGAAAGTGATTATGCCCTTTGCACCAGTCCCACTGGGGATCGCATGGCCAGTCAAGCAATCGAAGAGCTTCGTATGCCCAGGCCCTTCAAGGATGCTCCCAGGCAGAACTGGGGCAGTAGTAAGGGGCACCTCGGCGGAGTATTTGCATTTGGGCAGCCAGAAGAAGCGAGCTTCCAGGGTTTTCCTGTCGGGAGAGAGCTTGATGGGTTTCAAGGCAAATCGGCCTCGTCTCCAGAGTTGTTCGACGTGGGATGACATTGTGACGAGATTCGAGCAGGTTTGACATTTGGTATCCGCAGGTGATGCGAGGGACATCCATTGCTTCACAGCCTCGTACCCCCAGAGCAGCTTAAGGAAGTCCCAGAAGTCCGTCAAGGTTTCCGGGCTTCCTCCCTTGGTTGAACCAAGGCTAGGTGGGAAGATTGTTACGGCCGCAACGGGTTCGCTGGCTCTAGTAACGACACACATTTCTCTGTCTCTTTTGATGCACTGGAGCTTCTCAGAATGCGTCTGGCTTTGGCTTCTTGGCAGGATAGATGCACCTACATCGTGGACCGAGAGATTACGCCACTCTCTGACATTCATGTCCTCCTTTTTGACAGGTGATTGATCGGTAGCGCCGTCGATCTGCGAGCTGGTCATTAAACTTGCGCGTCTCTTGGTTGGAGTAACGGGCCCTCGTGATGTTGGTGTTGGTGTTCGACCATTTTCATTTCTCTGCGCAGCTTGGGGTGTACTATCAGCAGCTGGACGAGGTTCCCTTCTTCGTCCAGTATCTAAGTTCCGTTAGCTCGTAGAGGGGAAGTGAGTGCAATGTGTTGAGTGTTCCTCACAAGTCCACAAGGCCGTCACGGCATGGCCATTGCTGATGGCGTGCTTTATCGTGTTGCTCTTTCGAGGGTCCCTGCCTAAATTTTCCACGATGCGACGCAGACGGTGAATATCCGCAAGCCAAAAGCAGGCCCATGTAGCCTTGTCAACGTGAGTAACACCCGTTCTCTCGCTGATGGCTTGGATGAGGGCGGCGCGATCGACGTCCTGGAACTCGCTTGCGGGGTTGCAGTCGTCAGTCATTGTGGTAGTGCAATGGAAAGAAAGAACAAGTTTCTGGGGTGGTTAAAAGTTGACGCTGGTGGTAATGGTCAAGACTGAGGGAGGAGGGAGGAAGAGGAAAGTGGAACGAAAGGAACAGTGTTGTGGGTGAGCACATTGAAGAATTGCTGCAGTAGCAACAGAGGAACCTCCTTTATGGATGCTTGATTGTCCAAAACACTTCTGTTACTTACATTCAAAATCAAAACTCAGATTGGCATCGCAGCAATAAGCTATCAAGGAAGCACCGTCAAACATTACCTTTCCCTCTCCATTCAACACAGTCAAGCCTCATCCTCAGTCACCACATCAACATCCGCCCATTTAACATTGCTATAAGTGCCCCCTTCCTTATACTTCAGTTCCTTCCCATCCTTCATCGTGATCGTGATCTCAGCCGTGTAGGGTATCTCCAGAACCCCTTGAGCCGTCTTCGCCGTAACACGCAGGTTCTGACCCTTAGCCAGCGTGCCCCCAAGCGACCACCTGTACGTCGTCTTCTCGCTATGCTCAGTGCCATGCGTCTGCTTCGACGATCGCTGCCAATTGAATCCGCCTTCCACAGATACAATCCCGGGGATTTCACCCAATACCTTGAAATCAACTCCGAAGGTGGACTCCGTCTCCTGAGTCCAGGTGCTCGTCTCAGTGACCTCGTGCTCGCCCTCAACAGACCACTCGGCGTCGCTCGACTTGAAATGCCATGTCTTGACGTCTTGCGGCGAGATGCCCTCGCCGTTTGTCGGTAGGTCGAGATCAACGTCCGACAAAATCGACTGGTATTGCTTTAAGAATAGCGGCTTCGCCGCGAGAATGCTGTCGCCATCCGTTGCGACTCCCATACCCAGGAGGATCCCACTTCCCAACGCCATGTTGTGCGCCAGATTTCCGTCCGGCTTCCGGCCCGGATTGAAAGTGTGGCCCAGAGTCGTCGTGGAAACGATCTTGCCCAAGCGTTCGGCGCTGCCGTACTCGTGGTTGTTGTAGAGGATAAAATAGTTGAATCTTTCGTCGGGCTCTGGGAAGAACGAGAGCCCGTCTCGAATGGCTTTACCAATTTCATCCGTCGTGTTGTCGCTCCAGGTGAGCGTGATGCCGCGGATGTAGTACTTGTTGTCGTCGTAGTAGACCCTGATGGACTTGAGCGTTAGGCCTTGCTCGATTTTGCAATACTCCTTTTTTTCTCCCCGGTGTCCTCCGACCCAGTCGTTCTCCACGATATAGTCACTGCTCATTTTCCTTTCAGGATACGAAGTTCTGTGAGTAACGTGCTGACTTTGCAATACTAGGAGTGGAAGACAGAGAACTGAGCGTATGATTCAAAAGAATGAGTATTAAGAAGGTTTTATATATGAATGGCTTCTTCGTCCCTAGATTTTAATGAGGTCCCGAAAGCCTTTTGAACTTGTACGGCTAAGTCGAATGTCATCAAAACCATCAACGAAAGGTGACCAGGTATGGTGCCTAGGTGGTATGACAAAGCCAAACACTGTCACGGTGGCTGCCTGATGTCCCTGTCTTGCTGGGAGTGCGGTCCTAATTCTGACCTTCGAGCTACCTGGCCCTGTAGCCTGCCTGCTGTCCGGGTATCTACTCCGATATCCCGCATCCCTACTCCGACTCAATGGTGAAGATCTCGATACTTGGTACCTACAGTTTCGTGTTGTGATGAAACACACAATCTTTAGCTATAGCAATTTTAACCACAGAGCCAATGAAAAACAAAAAATACCCCGCTGCAAGTAAATCAGAAAGGACAACAGTTAGCCAATTCCGGTAAAAGCGCGCATTCAATGCGGCCCAGGCATGGGCAACGCCTTTTGAACAGCCAACGTCCAGTCGGAAACAACAGCCAGCGCAGACCGCAAGTGCTTCATGTCCAAGGCATCCCCTTCGTCAAACGCGAGCGATCGAGCACAGCTAACCAAGTTCTTGACTTGGCGGCCATTAAGCGCCGGTCCGGCTAGCTCATTGAGCTGGTCGTCACTAAAGCCGATGTCTTGGTTACCGTTTTCATTTGCCTGCTTTGCGTGGCGCGTGAGAAATGTTGTCCATATAGCTTTCCGAGACGTAAAGTCCAAGTCGGGATAGGAGAAGCTGAAGTGGATTCGACCTGTATGGTCAGTTAGTATGGGATGGTCAGAGGCGAGGTGAACTTACTTTCAAAAGCAGGGTCAAATATGCCTATCCTGTTTGTTGTGAGAATCATAATCCCCTTGTAGTATTCCAGCTGACGGAGGAAGATCGAGACAAGCGCGTTGCGGACTACATCGGTATCATTCCGAGCTTGGAGGAAGACATCAGCCTCGTCGAGAAGGAGGATTGCATTCCACCGTTGAGAGAGCTCGAGGATCAACGTCAGGCGGCTGTCGACATCGGCAGGGTTTGTGCCTAGTTCTCCGGCACTGACTGAGTATAACGGCCGCTGGGTCTCTTCAGAAATGGCTTCGGCAGTCAATGTCTTGCCGCAGCCCGGTCCGCCGCTGAGAAGCCCGATTAACCCCTTGCCCTTGCCGGCGACGATGTCGTCGAAGTGGTCACTCTTGTATGTGTGTTGGGTGACTAGGGCATGGATGAGTTTCTTTTTGTTGGGTTCGAGGACTAGAGAGTTGAAGGTATCGTGACCCCATTTGATGGTGCGACAATAGTCCATGCCCAACCCACCTAGAATCATTAGAGGAAACCTTGCCATGGGAAAGGAGACTCACCCCACATTTTGGCTCCGAAGCTGAAGCCAAGGACAATGGGACTACATATGGCAAAGTCGTCGTCGTTGTCGGGTATCCCGTTCTCGAGTTGCCTGTAGACATCTTTGCAGTATGTGGCATTTGGCTCAAATGTCCTGAAAGCTTTCACATCTACCATCACTCTTCCGAACGACTGGTACGCATCGTCAGAGAGACCATTTCATTGATTAGGAGGCAAGACTTACAGAGAAGGTGAATTGCTTTGGTTTTAAGTCCTTATTGAGGATCTCTCGCATCGCTGGTCCTTCGCATTCGAGGTATTTCCCGCTTTTCAATTCACAGTAACGTTTCCCTCGTTTAACAGCATGTTTGTAGACATCAGGTTTCCCGTCGACGAAATCCAATGGGAATATCTCCAGATCATAGATCTTACGAACCCCTGGATACTCATCGATCTGGAAATGTTCGACTTTTGAGAAGCCAAGTTTCACCCCGTCAAAGACGATGACGTCGCACAATATCTGCCAGTACAAGACGACATGGTGGTCTGTTGTCCTCTGTCTCTTTCTTGCCTGGCGGAAACGCAGAATCTGCTTCTGCTGGGTAAGTTTGTGGTAGTGGTAAACAAGGGACCCTGGGATAAATAAAGCCCAGAGTAAGCCCCATGAAATTTCCTGCCTACTAAGCAAGGCTTCCATGCTGGCGACATCATTTGCATGGTCTTCCTCTATATACGCCAATGCCACGGATAGATCATTGACCAAGGCCGTATTCGGCTGGGCTTTGGCCTTCTCGGCTTCAAAGGCTTTCTTCAATCCGAACCGCGAATGGTAAAGCAAGACCGGCCGGGCCTACAACGAGTTCAGTAAGTTGCTTCTATCAGCGGATTGGATTTCGCACATTGGGAGGGCTTTCCTGCACCAGGCTCTCACTGCCAGGGTTCAACTGCTGCAGAACCTCTGCCACAAGGGGACTTCTAATCTCGATAACGGTGTCAGCATGTCTGCCTTTGTGATCAATAACACGCCGCACGACAAGTGCAGCGCCTTTGAGGTTCTTCTGTTTCTCTTTCTTGGCCGTTTTCTTGAGTCTCCAGGTGTAGGTGCGGCTGGCATTGGTTAGCACGGGAGCACGAGGACAGGATGTAGGTATTTACTAGTCGTAGCTGGGTGAGACCAGTTAGCAGTCTCTTGAGTCACGGGGTACGAACGGCCTCACTATTCATCATAACGGGCTATGCGCTTTCCCGCCGATACCGCGTCCTTGCTTTCCTCAACCTCTTCCACCACGTCCTTAGCTTGATCATTCGGTTCTGCCATCTCGCTTGAATTGCGATAAAGCATTAGAAGGCTTATCTTACCGGCAGATGAGGGATTAAATAGACGGATGGAGCCTCAGTGTGAGATTGTCCGGACGGTGACGCGGTCCAGCCGCTGGCGCCAACGCATACCATCCATCCTTCGACAAGGGTCTCGATTGGCCTAGAGATATGAGATTCTTTCCCAAGACGGAGAAGCGGGCTTTTTCCTCCCCATCAAGCGAATGATATTGAATCGCTGCGCGAGGCTGAGGCTGAAGATTACTGTCTTCTGCACCGCGACCCCGCTCCGCGTCATCCTCAAGTCGTACACAATGGTGACTGACAAATTCTTCGTAAGTCCATTATATGAGGCTCTTCGTTGACCCATTCTTCGGTGCGCATGAAACTGACTTTCATTAAGAAACGAAGAAAATGGAGAAACCGCAGGCAACGGGAAGCAGCAATGGGTGAGACACGCTTTTCGGGGATTCAACTACGCATACTGACCATGTTCTCTAGCCCTACTACATTCGAACGAGCATTCTCGGCCCACCTTGCGTCCTTGCCGGACAAGAAAAACACGAAAAGAATGATATTCGACGGCATGATGGCATCCGGTCCGATCAACGCCGAAGAAATGCAGAAGTTCGTTGTGGCAACAGAGGAAAGGATTGCAAAAAAGACGCCCATGCGCATCTTCAATCGGATAGTGAAGCCGATGGTGGTCGCTATGAAAGAGTACTATGGCATACTAGACACGATGTGTCAGGCGAACCCGTCTCCGGCAGCTCTTGTTTGGGGTTCGCTGAAGATCATTGTCGATGTAAGAGTTATATCTTACTTCCTTCTTTGATTATATACTAACGTTGTTTATCAAGTGTGCAGATCGTTTTTCCAACCTGTTCGAAATGATTAAACAGCAGCTTCAAGATTTGACGTTCCATCTTGAGCGTATCAACTACTTTGATGAGCTCTATAAGGACACCTCCATGCAGAGCCTGCTCTGCCGGTCATATATAAATGTCCTCCGATTCTGGGCCAGGGTACGGAAGGAGTGCGAACGGAACAGTAAGCCAATGTTCTCAGCGTACATGGCGCAGCTAAACGCATACAGTGCTCAACATGTTCTTGAAATCCGCTGGTCCGTTCAGCACAAAGAAATTAGACTCTATAGTGTCTGACCTGAAGAAGGACTCTGAAGAGATCAGAGACCGGGCGGATATGCTTGAAAAAGGTCGAGCGCAGATGGAGCGGAATGCAAACGCCCACCACCGTGGGCAAGAGGAAGAAGATCGGAAAGGCAAGATTAATATTCGTATTTGCCGTGCGAGTACTAACTGTCTTGTCAGTTCATCTTTTCGACCGCGTGAAGCAGTGGCTGAGCGTCCGAAGTATCTTCCAAGACATCCTCGAAGCGAACCACCGCCGCCACAGCACTAATAAAGCAAGCCATGTAACCGGGACTTCAGAGTGGCTCTTCCAAACTTCCGAGTTTCTAGAGTGGTCTGGAAAAGGTCCTCAGTCCCCAATCATCTGGATGAGTGGAGATCCTGGCACGGGCAAGTCAATTCTTTGCTCGCGAGTCATCCAACACATACAGGATACAGATCCGGCCGCTGCGATCGCCTTCCACTTTTTCAGGTTCGACCAAGAATGCTCTACGATTGACTTATTGCGAGTCATGGCAGGCCAATTGCTGGAGAGCCTCAGACAATCCACCAAGGACGTACCAGACTCGATGTTGTCTCTTACAGAAACCCTAGGCGCTTCCGTTCAAAATGTGATGGACATGATGAGAGCACTTACGTCTTCTCCATCTCTTCCTAGAACATTCCTATTTATTGATGGGCTAGACGAAGAGCTCTCAGAACGACGGTGGATAACAGCCCGAGAGACCCTGCTATCGCTCATCGCACTTGTCACAACGCATCCTGGAAACTCCGTGAGACTATGGCTGTCTAGTCAAGCACATAACACGATTCTGAAAACTATGGAGGGGTATCCGAGGATCCATCTAGTTGATCAGAACGAAAGCGACATTCGGCTCCTCTTCGAAAAAGGCATGCGAGAATTGGAGCAAGAATTAGATGACTAGCGAAGGCCGCGGCGCGCAGCGCCGCGGTTGGAGCTAGTAAATTATTTCCCTTAGTAATTTAATATTAATAAACTATTAAAAGGCAAGTTAGTTCCTATTAGTATTATAGCTTGTTTTTTATAATATTAAAGGGGATTAATTTACTTTATAGGTATAGCTATTTTTACATGGGGGGATATTAAACTTAATTATATATTAAAATATTTTTATCCCGCGTGGTTAATAGCATGTAAAATAATTAAAGTATAATACTATTTTTTAATTAAAAAAACCTTTTAGTTAGTTTTAGTGCTATAGTCCCTAGTAATTTATTAAGTAAAAAAGCTTTAAAAAATAATAGCCTTTTTTAAAAAAAGCTAAAAAGCCTATTAATAATACTAGTAATTAAATTTTAAAACTAGTATAATTTTTTAGTAAGTATTTAAAAAAGATATTTTTTAAGCCCCTGCTAAAATTTATATAGGCTTTTAAAGGTTTAAAGGGTTTTAAGGGTTAAAAGGTTTTAAAAATAGTTTATAAATTACTAACTATAAATATATTTATTATAAGTATAATAAGATCTTTTTTTAAATTTTTAATAATAATAAAAAACATACCTATATTAAATAAAAAGTCTTACTAACTTTTTAATATACTAGGGGCTTAAAGGGGTTTCTTACTAAATAAAATTATAGTTAAATAATTTAAAGGTATAGTTATTTTCGCGTGAAAAAATATTAAATTTTTAGGGGATATATAATACCATGCTAGGCATAATTTAAATATTTTAATATATTATAATATAAAAAAATAATTATAAAATCTAGTTAAGCTATAGTTACTAGGGGTTAGACCTACTTAAGCAAGCTAATTAAATATAAAATATAATATTAAAAAGCTTATTTATAGCCTAGGGTGCCACGGGCAGTACTTATTTATATTTTATTTTTTAAATATACTATTAAAAAAGTAATAACTATATAAAGTTATAATTCCTACTATTTTAATATATAAAAAAAGTAATAAGCCAGGTATATTTATAAAAAGTATTAATTTATTAAACTTTAAGGGGCTAGCCTTATTCGCGCTATATTTTTTAAATATATTATTAAAAAAGCCAGCCCCTGGGCTAAAAGTATTTATTTAATAATAATATAAACTTAAGGGCTGGCTTTAAACTAAATATTAAATATTAATTAAAACCAGGCTATATAATTTATTTAAAGCATTATTTTTTAATAATAATAATTAAGGTAATACTTATTATAAAAAAAAGCAAGGCTTTTAATTAAAGGTTATAAATAGCTACCTTTTAGTAAGTAAGTCCTTTATTATTAAACTTTATTATAGGATACTAATAGCCTATATTTAATTACCTGCTTAGTTTGCCCGCTTAGTTTGCCTGCTTAGTTTACCCGCTTAGTTTACCCACTTAGTTTACCTGTTTATAGTTATTTAGCCTTATCCTATAGACTATATTTCTTTTTATTTTATATAGCTTTATAGCTAATTAGTTTTTAAAAAATTAAAAAGTTATTAAAAATTAAAGGTATACTAGGAATTAAAAGGGGACTAAAGGCTATTTATAAATTAATTAAATAAAAAATAAATACCTATACTAAATAAAAAGTCTTACTAAGTTTTTAATATACCTAGGGGCTTAAAGGGGTTCTTAATTACTTATAATATTAGTAATATATTTATTAATATTAGGGGTGGTTCCCGGAGTTTTAACTTAAATATTTAGCCTTAAGTATTTAAGGTGGTTTTTAAAGCCTTAACTTAAATATTTAGCCCTAAGTATCTTAATAATAAAAATATTTAAAAAATAATTATTTATAAATAGCGCTAATAAAGTAGGGCCCTTGCTAAATATAGTAATAAATAAATTTAATAGCTAGTAGGGATTACCTTATAAACCCCACTTATAATACTTACTTTTAATACCTATTATTTACAGGCTAGTAAAATTTATACCTAAAATATTAAGTACTAGCGCGTCCGGGAAAGTATTTTATTTTTTTTTATATTTAACTAGTTATTATGCAAGTTAATAGGCTTTAATTATTAAGGTTAGCTTTTAGTAAGGTAAATAGCTTATTATTATAAAATAAACCTAAGATATAAAGTCTTTTTTAAGGTAAAAAAATAATATAGTATTTTTAAAAATAGCTATTTTCTAGGGCATGGCTCTTATATATATTATACTAGTAAGTTTATTAAAATTATTATGCTTTAATACTATATTTTTATACTAGTATCCTAAAATATAAGTACCTAGGGTTTATAAGGTTATTTATTTTAAAAAATATATTAACTAAAATTTATAATATATTAATAATTAATAATACTACTAAAATAGCTAGCTAGCTTTAAAATTATTTATATAATTTAACTTTAATACTTTTTATAATTAAATTTAGCTTTAGCGCTTTTAGCTATAGTATTAAGGTAAGTTAAAATATTAAAATTAAGTTAAAAAATATTTACTATTTTTATTTTATAATATATATAAAAATATACCAAGGTTTAAAAGCTATATTTACTAAAATAATAAATATGTACCTATTTTACCGCGCTATAAGTAAGGCTAGTAAGTTAAATTTTTTTAGCTAGGGGCTTAATTTTAATAAACATGCTAAATTTATAGCCGCTGGTATTATATATAATTAAATATATACCTTATTATTTAATAACCTTTAAGTTACTAGAATAGGGCTTTAGAGCCCTAATGTGAAAACCTTGAGTAGGCTAACCAGGTACAAAACAAAGTACTAAGAGGTTATTTAATAAAAAATTAATATTAAATCTCAAGGCCTAAAATACATAAAAACTAACTCTTAGCCAACTATTCTTTACTAGGGCGTTAGCCTTAAATATATTATTAAAATAATAATAATATTATTATTACATGTTGGGTTAATGTTACCATAACTTTTATTTTATTAATTTCCTTATCTTATTAGGGCTTAACACCCGTGGGTGTAATAACTTAGCCCTTTCTTAATTAAAATTAACCTAATTTTTAAATAGCTTTAATTTTTATAATAAACATATTTTACTATTATTTTACTTTAGTTTCACGTTTAATTATTTAGTTTTTTTATTTAAAATAATTTATTATTAAATGTGGGGTTATCTTAAGGCTTAAAATAATGTTTTTTTATTAGTATTTTACTTTTAAATAGCTTTACTTTTAGTGGCTGGGATAGCTATTTTAGTAAATAATAAAAGTTTTAAGTTACTTTTTATTAATTTAAGTATTAATAAATTATAAATAGGCAGTATTTTATAAATAATAAAAAAATTAATATGGTTATTATAGTGCTATGTTATTAGTATTATATAAGTAGCTAAATATAAAAAAATAAATTTTTATTTACTTTTTAGTCTTTTTTTTTTTTAACTTTCTTAATTTTTTTATTTTATTTCTTTGGTTTCCCTATTTTATTTTTTAAAGTTTAATATCTTGTTTTTTTATTCTTTTACTGGCTATTTAATCTTATGGCGCCTATAATAAGGTTTAAAATTTATTCCCCTTTCTTACCAAAGACTATTATTACTGCCATTAAAAATAGTAACAAGAATAGCAAAGGTTTTTTAAATAATTTAAAAAAAAAAGGCAAGTAAAAAAAGGGCACCGTAAATAGCAAAAAAAAAAAAAGCCTAAAAAAGGTAAAAAAGCTAGTAAAACCCACAGGGTTTTATTACATGTGCTTGTTTATTTAATAATATTATAATACTTAATATATTTTTAGTCCGCATTAAAAGCTAGTAATTTAAATAATAGTAATATATTATTTTAATTTAATTATAAATTTAATATTATTATATTAATTTTATGCAAGACCTATTTTTATTATAATAAAACTTATAAGCTAGTAAGTTTTTAATATTTTTTTTTTTATATTTTATAGCTAATTTATTATATCCCTTAGGTTAAAGTAATAATAACAAGGGACGCCTATAATTTATAGCTTTTTATTAAATACTATTATTTTTTTTACCCGCGGACTAATAACAAAGGGGTAAAGCTTTTTTTAAAAAATAAAAAGTATTAATAAAAATAAGAATTTATATTTTAAACATATTTTGCAATAATCCAATTATTAAAGGCCTTTAAAAACATAAAAAAGGCTTATTAAAAAAAATTCTCCCTTTTAAGCAAGGTAAAAAAAAACCAGCAAAAGTTAAACCTTTAATACTATATAAAAGTATTATTATATCACGCCCTACTTTTTACTATTTAACTTATAAATTCTTTTATTACTAATATAAAAAATAATACTAAAGTTTTATAGTTATACCTTTATTTTTCCCCTGGTAATTTAGGCCACGTATAATAGTTTATTACTAAATTTTAATTTTAAAAAAAAGTTAAGCTTGCCTGCCAGGCTTATTTTATTAATACTTTAAATTTTAATACTAAACTTGCTTATATTAAAACAAAGTTTTTTATTACTATTAAGGGCATTTAGCCGGGTTATTTATATATTTAGTTTTAGTAATAGTATCTTTTTATTTTTTTACTTTTTTAAAGTTAATATTTTATTTTATTTTTAGTGCCTTTTTGGCGCCTTAGTTATTTATTTTTATTATTTTTTAGTTTAGTTATACTAGGTAATAGCTTAGTAATATTAAGGCCTTGTCCCCTTAATAATACTTTATTTTTTTTTTTTACTTTAGTGCTTATTACTTTCTAGGTTTATAGTTTTTTATAGTTACTTGTAGTTTAAGGCTAAAATAGTAATTTTTAGGTAGTATTTTATTAGGGTTTTTTTTATTTAGGTATATTAGGCGTATTTTAACTTGGAATTAGGTTTTATTTTTACTTTTAATTAAATAATAAATAACTATCTTGCTGCGCTTGCCTTTTTTTATACTTTTAAATAAGATTTAGTGTATTTATATTCTTAATAAAAACCTATTAATTATATTTTAAAGGTTATTTTTTTTATTTTACTAGGTATAAGTCTTTATTTTTAATAAAGTTATAGTTAATAATATTATTAATCTCCTAT